GAGAAAATTTAAAAGGGCAGATTTTGGTGTCAACCCAACCTTCAGGGCTCAAAGCCTTCTTATTAACAAATTATTTATAAAGCAGAATTGCAAGGGCATAAGTTAAAACAGCTTATTCAAACCATAAGAGAATTAGGTGAATTTTTAGTAATCCGTTTATTTGAATTTGTAATAAATTACCTTTTCCAGTGTTTGACTCGGGACTGGTTTTAATCGGGTTCTCAGCGATATTAAGGAAGTAACAGCATCAAAAATCGACCCGGCTACATCACCCGCATGAAAGCACGTGTTTCGAATTTGCTTGAAATAGTTGCTTAAACAGCGGCCTTGCGCGAAGTGGAGAGCACTCGTGGTAATTGAGTTGCTCCATCGGAGAAATGAGAGGCCCAATTTTTTGCAAAGCATTCTCGAGTGCTCCGTTCGTTAAGCGGGTCTCCTCCCACATCTGCAGGCTTCTCTGCAAAAATCTGAAACTTCCAAAATGAATCTTTGTGGGGTTCGGCATGAGCCACACAATCGAGTATGCCCAAAGTCGTCGAACTGGTGGGAATTCCACCAAACGCACTTTGTGGGTGATAAGTTCTAGGATATTTGTTTTTACCTGGGGCCGTATGCTATCCTTCCCCGAAGCACGATGTAGTTTCTTCATTCTCAATGCATACATACATTTAATGTAGGCCTTTTATCAGGGTAATCCCAGTTGGGAAGACAGAGAAAATTTAAAGGAATTTTCGTCCCCTAACCCCTTCGGGGAGGATAGCATACGGCCACTGAATTATTCACAATGGCCTCCTTGAGTCATGAATGATCAGATTCACTTCGATGTTATAAAAGTGCCGGAAAAAATTTTGGCCACACATGACCGGTTCACTAAAGTCTTCAGGTTTGGTGGATGAAACAAATGAAATTTTAACATTTGTTTTTTGTTGCGCCACGCTCTCAATTTCCATTTGCAATGATGGACACGTTTGAATGGGCACCAAGTGCATGCATTTCTTCATGAAGGGTGGACAATACCAGCTCAATTCAGGCATTTCAAATCCTTCGAGACGAACCTGATGCAAAATAAGCGTTTACAGGAATTCGGACAACTCAAATGTCTTACAAATGTGAACTGGCCATTCAAGCACTGACGCGGTTTTTTGGATCTCCCTCCTCTTTTCCCTCAACCCCGTGTACCGACGGGTACTTATACTTTCACTCGGACTACTCTTACTAGCTGCATAGCTCGTTGGTAGCGTACTATTGTCGCAGGGTTAGCGCGCTAATCGGCTTTACATCGTATGCTATTCATATCATTCCAGTTTATGTTACTCGAATTGGGACAAAAAGTTCAACAAAAAATAAATAGCTGACAAAAGTTGGTTCTCTTGTCAAGTAAGAAAAAATGGTTGATCTTGGGCAAAAGTGGTGGATACGCCATGCATTTGACCTGCGCATAGAATCGTCGACGCGCTAGGAATGTGTTTAGAGTACATAACCTGCGCCGTTCAGTCAAATTGGCGTTTTCCTCTACCGAAATATAATTGCGATGACCGCTGTCCCAGCCCGATCGCCCCCTCACTTTTGAAGATTAGAGACTCAGGCGTCAAGGCTTAGATTTGATCCATGGTTATGTTTGGAGTACTTCTGGTCTTGCTCTGGCCCTTTGTTCTCTGAGTTGCCCGGTTCGCTTTTTTTTCGGCAAGAGAATCGGAAATCGGAATTGGACATTTTCCCGCAAAAAGATGAATTTTCTTTAATTTCAGAAGGAACTGAAAGAATACGAGCACCGTCTCCCGCTCTCATCCATTACCCATTTCTCAATTGACGGCGATGTTCTCATCACACATATCCATTGGGGAGGAAAGTACTATGTAAGTGATAATCGTATCAATTATGACCTTCTATCAGCTGCATAATCGAATCTGATTTTTAGCCTGTTCCATACGAGAGTGGACTGGCTGGAGAAGGCCTTTCTCCAGGCAAAAGCCTTTATTTGTACGGAATGCCGGAGAAGAAGGGAAAGCGATTCCACATCAACATTCTCAAAAAGAACGGCGACATCGCTCTACATTTCAACCCGAGATTCGACGAGAAGGTAGGTTGCCCTGGAAAAGAGGCCTTTTTGAGACCTGGTGAAGATGTGAGGTATTTGAAGGCAGTGGTGCGTAACTCATTGATCAGCAACGAATGGGGTAACGAGGAACGCGAGGGCAAGATGCCCTTCGAGAAGGCCGTCGGATTCGATCTCGAGATCAAGAACGAGGACTACGCCTTCCAGGTAAGCCGCCATTCATTCTTTACTTCCCCTGGACTTAATTTACCCCTTTTTTTTTTACAGATAATGGTGAACGGCGAACGATTCGCCTCGTACGCTCATCGACTCGAGCCACATGAGCTGAATGGGCTCCAGATTGGTGGTGATGTCGAGATTACCGGAATTCAACTTCATTAAGCAAAACCTAGCCCAGCCTGCCCCCCGTTCGTCCGCATTCTATGCACCTCTTCTCTAGAGCAAATCGTCGTATCCAAAAGCCATTCTCCCTGCCTAATCGTCGCTTTTGAGCTGAGTTCTGATAGAAATGTTGTCCACGTACTCTTCTACAGTCTTCTCGTTCCACTCTCTATCATCTTCATCTCTGACATAAGCAATTCCGCCCTTCCGCCATAATCTGTTTCGTTTTGTGCTTTGCCGCTTGAACGGTCTGCGTTTTTATTGTTTATAAATCTTAATTACTACGTGATGTCTTGTTCGTCAGGTGTAACGTTGACTGATAAGGGAGTGGTCTCACGTCAGCCGGAGAAATGCCAGGGTAAGCGCGTTACGGTGAAGCCTTCCGAAAGGCCTTGAATTAGAATCGCTGCCAAACGTCGCCATAATGCCTGAACAACTTTGTACACCTCACTACATAGTTTTTTACACCCTAAAGGTGTCAACCTTGGAGCGTCTATTTCATGTAAACTACAGTAATAGTAATAGGCGTTGGGTCTATTCCAGTTAGGGGGCATCATGGTGCGGTGACTCCCAAAAAGCTACGGTAACTCTGAGCCAGGGGGAGTGTAGCCAGCCTAGGGGGGTGGGGGGTGAGGGCAGTCACTTGACATGCGTGAGAAGCTGGAATGTTCGAGTTTACATTAGCTCGCCGAGAAACTGCATCATGATGCCCCCCCCCCCTAACTGGAATAGACCCTAGGGTTCTACCATTCCCGTATAACTTCGATTTTGCGAATTTGGGCCAGAACCTCTTTACAAAACACGATCAAACCACAAGGCTAAATACTCCATGCGTATCTATATGTAATAACAGCCGATAAAATCACAAGTTCATGTTATGAAATGCGGAAGACCTAGGGTTTTTCATGACTCCACAGAAAAAACAGATCAGGTGAAATGCCCGCAGTGACCAGCTCTAACGATTATGTACGTGACTACTGGAACTCTTCCGACTGTGTTCTCTGACGCGAAAGGCCATAGAGCAGACGATTAGAGAACGGAGCCTGGCTCGGCTCCAAATCTCAAACAGGGAGGTGAGAACTATAGGACTTAGCCTTGGAGGAAGGATGGACTCCGGATTGGATAAGCCAATTACTTCTTGGCAATGTTTGATTGTATCAGATCACAGTAATCATAAGCCGCTGTTAAAGCGAGAGAGCGCAGGCGAGAGCATCAAGTCACGGCGGTTTAAAGGACTGAGTTTCAAGTTGTCCATAGACCATCTAACCATTATCAGGGAATGCTTCCAAATTCTCACGGAATTTTGAATGGAGACCCTCAGGCATATTGGTAAAATCCTGAATACTGTGCCACATATATGTAGACCAAAACTGCTACGCGACCTTTCCAGGGAAGTTGTGAGCGATCAAAGCTGGCAGAAAATGCAGTAAAAAAGTAAGCTGCGGCACTAAACTGGCGGCCAGATTGCATCTGTCTCAAAAATGAATGTCATGTTCTGTGACCAGGTCATCTGTTATCTCCATAGGCACTGTTGAAAAATAAAGCCGATGTGGTTAGATTAGCTTGCCTCCTAGACCTCCTAGGCTACCCCTCCTGTCAAATTTGACCGCCCACGATTTACATGGAATGTGTTGAGGTCGTAGTTTCAAGTACCATCTTATTTGGTAACTAAACATTCATCGATTTTGATTCATCCCTTCTCCAATCAAATTCTAGGGAGTTGAAGCAGTTCCTGGCGATAGCGTGCGTTCTTACAAGGAAAGGATGGTAGGTCGAAGTGGCCGTATAAAATGAGATGTATACCTCCTGATGCGTCTCTAGACGCTGACTCCAAATCTGCTAAACGGCTCTCCGAACGGAGTTATGAAGCGTAATAGCTCAGTGGTGATGGTCCGGGGTGGCAGGTAAAAGCTCGTAGGATCGGTTCCTTTGCAAGTTTGTTGCTTTGCTTTTGTCCGCAACACTTCTAGAGACAAAAGCAAAGCAACCAATTTGCAAAGGAACCGATCCTACGAGCTTTTACCTGCCACCCCGGACCATCACCACTGAGCTATTACGCTTCATAACTCCGTTCGGAGAGTCGTTTAGCAGATTTGGAAGGCAGATTTGGAATCAGCGTCTGGAGACGCATCAGGAGGTATACATTTCATTTCGAACGGCCACTTCGACCTACCATCCTTCCCTTGTTAGTAGAACAAAGAGCCAAGCTGTGAAGTTGGTTCCTCATATAACGATCACTGTCTAGACCTTTTCCCACCATTATGCCAATATTTCGCCTTTATTTAGTAATGATCAAACTGGTATACTCGAGACGCTGCCTTCGGACACATTACCAACCGGACTGAGATCTGAACATAGTGGAATGCACTTCCATCTATCAATGGAAATGGAACTCTTTTATGACGGAAGGTGCGCGAACAGAAGAAAAACTCCGTGTTCGTGTTCCAGCTCTGAATCTACAAATGCAGATTAGTCGTCGGGGAGTTGATTCATTGGATCTACGAATCTTTATCTGTATTGTATCAATTCCATGCTCGGTCTTCTCGAATTCTGGGCATTCCTTTGAAGTAAATGAAGGCGCTATCGCAAAATACGGGGCCATTGTAGTGTCAATCCAATTAAAATCCGGCCGTAGACATATCCTTCATAGTTGAAACGACTAGCCTAAGAAGGACGACGAGTGCGGGTGCATGAGTTTTCCTCTGTTTCGCTCCCTTTTAGGGCTAGCTCTAGAGCGATGCCCCCCACATTTTGCGATAGCGTCATTCTTTAATCGCAACTTGTATTGTAAATTAGTTTTCTATAACTGACTGAGATTAGGAAGCCGGAGCAGTACGGAGAAGGGGCAGGTACTGAAGACAGCGATCTATTGAATGTGCTTCGACAACAAAAAACATTTACAGAGAACTTTAAGCGCCATATATCCCTTCAAGTCCATGATGTCACTACAATAAAATTAACATAGATTCAAAATGCAGTGGTGATATGCAATCTACCGCGAATGCGCCATGCACTCGTATCGAAAGCTTACTTGCAGCACATTTTAATTGGAAATTAGGGACATTTAAGGGAATATTGAATCTTTACTAGGAATAACGCATAAATCTGTACGAAATCTGCCCTGCACAAAGCACCGCCGTGCAATGATATGTTCTAGATGTGCGAATAGTGGCGAAAAATGGCAATTCATTGGTCGCTGTAGTTCAGTTTGGCCCGGCGATATGCATACAACGAAAAATGCTCTTTTTTTTGTCACCAACAAATCAATCTCCTTCAATTCAATTTGTTTTTTCTTTACTTTCTGTTCATCTCATCTGTCAGTCATTGTTTCCACCAAACGTTTTCTGCCCATCTTCGGCACTCTCTTCTCAATTGCTGAAGGCATTGCGGATACAATGACAGCTGACAATTTCCTGCTCCTGGAATATTGAGCGGCTCAGCCACTTCTGGGAATTTTCCCAATAAAAATTAGCGCTATAGCAATATATGGGTCGTATAACTTCGTGGAAGGCTAAAATTAATACCGGGCAGAGCTCAGCGGAAAATGAAAATGGTTCACGCTTTATGAAGATCTTCGCTACTGCTCACCATTAGTCCGATTCAAAAAAGCTATGTTTGTCGCAGTTTTGAATTCATCGCCATCAAAATGCCCCCGTATATTGCGACAGCGCTTAAAAATGATGTTCGAGATGGTGAACATCTCATGATGCCTGTATACAGGGGGGGGGGGGCAAAAAAAAAGACATTTTGCCTATGTCGGACTTCGGCTCTTTTTTCTTCGCAGAGATTGCTGTCGTTGACGGGAGTTCCTCAGCAGAGTATTCCCTAAGTGTCCCTCTATAGTGAACGCAGGCCCTCCTTCACTGCCCTCACCGTCTTCAGAATATGACGTCATCTGTCACCGTCGTCAGGCTCAAGGAGGTCTACCGTAAGAGCTTCAGCCTGAAGCTCTTACGCAATTTCGTGAATCGATTTAATGTTGGATAGTTTTCTAGAGGCATTAGCTACCACTGTGCAAATCCCCTCGGAACTAGCTTTCCAGTAAGGGTCGTTATGGTACACGATCCTTCGAAGACCCCATTGAGCTCGACCAGTGCACCATGTTTCCAGGGCAAATTCTTCTGATGCCGTCCACGTAGGTGGCCACCATGAAGATTTTCTTATAGAATGGAATGCGCTCTTTAATAATAAGTTGGAACCATTCGGTCTGAATTGAGCTTAAATCCATCTGGAAGTGGAGACAAAATGTCTTTTTTTTTATTGGCCCCCCCTGTATATCAGAAGAGGTTCCTTCAGTTGTAGTTGTATTCAGAGGGAGTTCAACAAGTTGTAGCCCCTGTACTCAATAAAATTTCAGTATTTTTGATATACTCACCTATTTTATGGAAATTTCGGTAACGATTGCGAATATTTAATGAAACTTAAATAAAAGACGAAAATTCATGACGATGTTTCTCAAAACCATTAATCACCATGGAACCACGGCTCTGTTGCGCCCCTTAAGAAAATGACAATATAGGGCGGTCCAGAATAAATGAACGACTTCCATTTCCTTCGCCGCTATTATCAATGTGCAAGACAAAGATGAAGGTAACCGATGCCTAACACCATGAATCATAAACTCAGCACATTCTTCCTTCTCCTGTTGAAGGCGGTGTATCAGAACGAAAGTCGCTGTCGAAAAATCTTCGAGCAATGCGTTTCAGGCATTGATAGGGACGTTCCCAAAAAAATCGTGTTTAAAACGCTTTTAGTATTCTCACCCTGTGCCAAATACACTTTTCTACACGGTGGTGAATTCAATATTATAAACCACCTATACGTAATTATTGTTTCTAGCGTCTGAAGGAACACGTCGAGTGTGAATCGGTGCGCGTTCTACGTGGTCGAGCCCCCAAGTGCAAAAAATGTCTTGGCTCATTGGTGGTGCACTGGCAAATGGCATAGTTTTCTTGCCCACGATCCAGGAATCAAATCCAAGGTGGTGGCAGACGTTGAAA